GGGGAAAAATGCCTGTGAGGATAGGTTAGGGAGGGTTGAAGGATTTTGTCCAGAGTGGGAAGTTAAGCTAATTTTTTTAACATCATTAAGTGGACCTAAACTCAATAATTAAAAATATTCTATCTTATAGGGAACATCTAGAAATGTTATCTGGAATATGAGATTATCTAAAGTCGGCCATAAACCAGAAGAATTATATTTGAACTATTGCTCAAATTCTGAAAAATCATTCATCAGACATTTTGATCTTGCCATCGCATGAACTAATTTCATTCAAAAGCCCTTAAAATTTCATTCAGACCTGATACTTGCATGGAATACCAGATGTATTAAACAGGTTTCTTGTGTGCACGTGCACATTGCAATAATTCAGATGATAAGCAAGAAAACTTCACATTTTCTAATCACTACAGTCAAAAAAATGATCATTGATGTGACACCACTAACCTTTAGAAATTTGAACAAATGTTCTAAAGTGAAAATTCAACTGCTGTATTGCCAGCTTAGATCATTTTAGCTGCCTCTGACTGCTAATCTCAAAAGATCTGAAGTAAGATAACTATTATGTTGTTCATTTTTCTCTTAGATGGAGATTAAGCTGTACCTGAGGATCTGCAATGCAAAAATGTCCCTGTTTCTACTTCATCCATCTTTGTTCTGTGCTTTCTCCACCTATCATGCTAATTCTTGATCATTACCCCACCAGTTATCAAACCATGAGCCATTAGGATGTAAGGACCCTGGTTTGGATGGCGGTTCCTGCCAAACTTGTCCAGGTCCTGTCTGTCTTTTCAGCTGGGGTAGTCCCATGACATCTATGGAATAAACTCCACCATGTTGTGTCCTCCACACTCCTGGCCTGAGGCTCACCTCCTCACATATTTCTAGATATAGGCTTGTTACCCACAGTAAAGAACGTCCAGTCCAGATTCCTTTAATACTTTACTGCAACAGTTTTGGCACGCAACAGTACAGTTGCAGGACATACATGTAACACCCTCTAGTGTGCAACTAGTGTAGTGTAGGTAAATCTAATATGTATGACTCACGGTAACTGTGTGAGTCTGTGATTAAGTTTGGGTTACTGCAGGTCAAGCTGGATAGCTTAACAGGTTTGGACTCTATCACTTTCACCTGGTTCTGGAGGACCATGGAACCTTCCAGAAGCCAAAAGGCAGAAGAGATGGAGACCTAATCTGCATGTTTATGGGAGTCTAATCAATCACAGGTTTGGAGATCCTGGTAGAATGGTAAAGCCAAACCATAAATATGGGAGAGTCAGGCTGGCAGGGGAGTCGGGTGGAAAATGGAGTGCTGAAGAGGCTGTAGGTGATCTAGGAGGGGGTCTTCTAGGTCTAGTGGGGCTGGCCTCCAGGCTGGGCTTGGCCTGGCTCAGGAGGATCCATTCAGCATCACAGTATGAACAAGATCAAGGCCTGGGAGCAGTGGGAACAAGGAGGATAGTATGAGTACATCAACACACCCAGGGATTCACAAGGGGAAAGACTGCCACGTGTAGCAAACTTTCAAAGGACAGTCTTGTGCTTAACCCCTCATCCTTGTCCTGGGAGATCTTCAGAGCAGCCAGGAGGGCTAGTAGTATTTTCAGGCTGTGGAGCTGAGAGCAGTTCTACAGGAGAGAGGAGATATAGTTCGCAATAAGCTAAGCTAACTTTAAGAGGGGTTGAGAGTCCCTAGCCCAAAAGGGGCAGTTGCTACTGACTCACAATGACTGACTGCTTTCAAGGAAAAGAACAGTCCTGGATCTGTTTCTGTAAATAGGAAGGAAGTTGTCCCTTTGTATTGATTCAGTCAAGCTGGGCATCCCATAATTCCTATTACCCAAAGATATGCTGGTAGTTTGATTGGCTCCTGGCTAAATTGGCCCTTACATGTGTATGTATGAATGTGAGTTAGGGACTTTTTAGATTGTATGCCCCTTGAGGGTTAGGGACTGATGTGAATGTACAATATATATGTATGTAAAGCGCTGAGTAAAGCGACAATGATATATAAGTACCTGTATTAATAAATTAATTAATTAAATAAATAAGTTACACCCCCTAATAAAAATAACATAAACCATGCTCATGGACTGTTCACTGACTGTGGATGCACGTGTTGAAAAATGCATGCTGTCTGGCTACATACAGTACCTCTAATTTGACTTTCAGCTCTGTGCTGAATTCTTGGAAAGCAGTGAGTCATGCAAGCATGGAGTAAAATATCTGGGGGCATTTTGTACATGGACATTGTACAGAGGACCTCAATTTGCTATTTTTCAGTTTGCTATATTGTCATTGTTGGCAGTTTTTGAATTGGAGGTCAGTTTTAATAACACTAAATTGCAAAATAGCAAGTGTTGCAATTATTTATCTATATAAATATAAAGGGTTTTTCTTCTCGAAGAATAGGTGCAGGAACTCCCCTTTCCTAGTCACCTCTTGTCTCTGCCCCCTACCCACCTCTGGGCACTGTCCCTTGGTTCCTCACCCTACACACCTCCAAGTACTTTTTAGAGATTACACAACCAAGTATCATTTAGAGGTGCTAAGAAACTTGTATGGAATGTGTTAATGATAAAATAAAGCAGTAAAGTATATCCCCTGCAGCCAGAAACAATAGACCACCCCAGCAACAACAGACCCCTACAACAAAATACCCCTAGCAACAATAGCTCTACCCCAACAACAAAGACCCTCCCAGCAGCAATAAATCCCCCAGCAGCCAGCATCGATAAACCCTCCAGCAGCCAGCAACAATAGACCCCTCCTGCAACAGTAGGTCCCTCCAAGCAACATAAGACAACCCACCAGCAACAATAGATCCTTCACCAGCAACAACAGACCTCCCCAACAACAAAGGACCCCCCCAGCAACAATAGACTCCCCACCAGTCAGCATCAATAGACCCTCCAGCACCCCTTGCCATGCCATACATTGAGTCCTGGAGGTGCTAGAACTGTGTTCCCCCGCGTTCTCGCTGAAAAAAGCCTTGTAAATATATGTATATATATATATATATTTTTTTTTTAGAAAGCATTATGTTGTGACACGAGACTGCAGTAGCAGCCCATTGATTGCTTTTATTTCTGTCAAACAGAGATTAAACATAATGCTACTTTTAAATATTTATCAACTCCTTTAAATACGTTGAAGCTTAAAGCATCATAATACTATATTATTACACAAATCTCTGCAGCCATTTTTTGCTGGCTTTTTTATTTATCTTGTCATTAGCCTTTTGTTGACTTTGGCTTGTTTTTTAGTTTACATGTTACAACTTTGGGGCCCTTTTCTACATTGTTTTGCGTTTATCACACCATCTAATGCCTAATTGCACACCTCACTGAAAAACAAACAGTCACTCTGACTAAAATAAACACACTGGAAACTATTTGAGACTTCCCACAGCCTGTTTGGTTCTTGCTAATGGAGAAGCCTTGAACCCCCAAAGACTACCAGATGTTTAATGTCATGTCCTGTAAAGCTGAGAGACTCAAGACAGCATGGGGCTTTATTTATTTAACAATATGTTTTCGGATTATTTTATAGCAGTCAATAAAATATTCATTCTGCAAATCCAATATCACTCAAAATAGGTTATTTAATTTTGAAATGAGTATGACAAAGTTGGACCGCCACGAAGTTGGTAAGTGTTCCCAGTGGGGACATCTCTCCTTACCCAGCTGTGCCAATGACAGGCCTCACTCACCAATATGCTTAGAAGCAGATTAGTCAACATAAAAGTCTCTGTTAGTGTCACCTGCCCCTGCTTGGTTTGATAAGTACATGCAGTGAATACTGCAGGAAATAAATTCTACTCATCTTTTGCAGTTTTGGCCTTGGGATCAAAGCAACTCCAGATAACAAGTAAATATGAAATCAGTTGAATGCTACCTGGAAGTGTTACAACTCTCCTAAAGTCAAAAAGTCCAGTCACTTTTCTTTTCATGTAAATAATACATTATTATTACAGATACTTATACAGTGCTGTCAATTTATGCAGCACTTTACATATATACATTGTACATTCACTTCAGTCAATAACCCTCAAGGGATGTACAATCTAAGGTCCCTAACTAACATTCATACATACACATACTAGGGACAATTTGGACAGGAGCCAATTCACCTACCAGCATGTCTTTGGAGTGTGGGAGGAAACCGGAGTACCTGGAGGAAATCCACACAGGCACATGGAGAACATGCAAACTCCAGGTAGGTGGTGCCGTTGCTGGGATTGGAACCAACGACCCTGGTACTGCGAGGCGGAAGTGCTAACCATTTAGCCACTGTGCTGCCCATAATGCCATTTAACTAGTGTAAGCAGGCTTTTAGCTGTGCTTCTAGTAGGAATGCATAGGGGGAGATTTACTAAAATTGGGGCACACAGAATCTCGTGAAGCTGTGCATAGTAGCCAATCATCTTCCAGGTTTTATTATCAAAGCTTAATTGAACAAGCTGAAGTTAGAAGCTGAATGGTCACTACGCACAGCTCCAGATTCTGTGTTCATCGGTTTTAGTAAATCTCCCCCATAGTCTTGTTATATGATTCTGTACTGTGCAACCTTCCACTTTTGCTCCAATGTAAGTAAGGCTTCAGTGGGCTCAGAAAGTGGTCAGTGCTGGAATTGGACAAATTGTGCTTGCAGGTTTAAATACAAAACCATTTTTACCAATAACAATATTGATTTAGCTATGATAGTGATAGTAGAATATGAATGTCATGGTAAAAACTCAGTCTAATTTAGGCATGCTAAAGCTGGCCATACACTTAAGCTGGCCATAGATGGATCAAATTTTGATCCATCTATGGCCATTCCAGTTCACGAGAAGTCAATCTAATGATCGACACTTCTTTAACCCCCCTGGCGGTATTCACGAGTGTAGCTCTGGGTTAACTTTCAGTACCAAAAGCAGTAACCCCGAGCTACAGATTACCCTGCAGCGCTGATCAGGGATTCCCTCTTGCACCTACCTTGTCCTGCGCTCCCGTGATGTCCCCCCTGCAGTGTCCCCGGCCATCTCCTCCGGCCAATGCCGGCATCCGTCTTCCAGGTTCCGTTCCCTGCGAGCTTCGGGACGTACGGGGGCCAGAACCGCCGGGAAATTCAAAAATTTTAAAAGTGACATTCACTAAAATCACATAGTAAAACATTACTGTATCAAAACCATTTCACATACATTTTGTCCCTACTGCTTTGTCCTGTGCCCTGCCTGCATTTTGACTGTTCTTTCTGCCTGGAAACTGAAAAAAACATCCATGGCGCCCAAAAAGCGTCCCTTTAGCTCAAAAGCGGTTTTAGACCAGCTAGAGAACAGTGATAGTAAATTAGAACTACTTACAGAATTGAGTGATAATGATTCGTGGGGAAATTCGTCATCAGACACTGAAAACGATTTTGAGACTAAGCTCAGTGATGTGCGAATTTGGCGCTATATTTCAAATTTCAGTGTTTTTGGTTTGATTATATTATTGAATTAAATGTATTATTATTATATTATTATTTTATGATTATTTATTATATTATAATTTATGATTTCGTGTTTCAAATTTTATCCTACCCGGGATGTTTACTAGACTCTTGTTTGGACAGACTTCAGTGAGTTATTCCTAAGAATTACAGGCCTACAATAAAAAAACGACATTTCCATGCAAAATAATGTACCGCTTTGAGTACAGAAATACTGACATAATCAGACCGTTAGGGAAGTTAATATGACTGCTGGTAAATTTTCATTCAATCAGCGCATGCAGCAGATCAGTGTATTCTGACAGCAGAGAAGTTCCCGCTGTTTAAATACAACAACACAGTGGGGAAGATTCTTGCATCCACCTCAATTGCGTGGATGGGGGAATACTTTTTTTTTTTTTTTATCAGTTGGCAATCCATGTATGGCCAGCTTTATTCTATTTCTAATAGATTCCTCCTTCCATTATAAGCTGCCTACATGGACAAATTATCCCTACTGGCTATTATATTTTGACAGACAGCTCCAGTAGCTGTCAGACTACCCAAACATTTCCTGTATTTGACTGGGTGCAGGTGCTGTTTGGGAAACAATTTTCCATCGGGCTCCTTGAAAAAATCGACTTCTGTTAATGGGGCACCCATAGGTTGGATCTCAGTCAATTCTTCACGAATTTCAAGACATATATGGCACGTACATATATATATATATATATATATATATATATATATATATATATATACATACGGTATATATATATATATATATATATATATACGTGCCATGCACGTGTTAAAATTCATGATGAATGAATGAATATATATATATATATATATACTGTATATATACTGTTTTTTTTTCCCGAATCACACTAGTTAGTAGGTGAGCGAGGGGGTTCTACCACCACTCACCTATTCACTTAACTTAATGATATTCACTCATACACTGTTGCTTGAGTTTCTATTTTACTATAACACATATAATGTTATGTATGAGATAAGATTGTGAGGTGAGATGGTTTTCACCACCATTAAGGAGTTTTTCGCCACTTTTCATTAGGTGATATACTTACATATCTTACTTGTATATAGTTTTAACCTGTTAGGATTTTACTTATAGAGTGGTGTGTTGTGCTGCATTATTTATATCGTTATTTAGTCGTCTAGTGTAGGAACACACGTCAGAGTTGGCAGCAACCAATTAAGTTTTTTTGTCACAAATTGTTGGATTTGTTTCATTTTTTACACTGGTGGCACAGTGGTTATCATTTTTATTTACCATAGAGGATGCAATTTTCTTTCCAGCAGCCACAGGTTGCAGAAATGAAAATCGCTTGATTTCCCCATCAGCACCATCAGTGTTGACGGGGGATTCCCTCCCTGTAATCACATGCAAAATATCCAACAGGCTGGTTGTACTGAAATCGATTGATGGATTGACTTCAGTACAACCAGCCTGCTCATAGATGGATCAAATCTCAGCCAGTCCCTGCTGAAACGGCCAAGATTCAATCCATCTATGGCTGACTTTAAGTACACTGCCTTTGTAGCACTACCCCCTTAGGAGTCGCTGAAGTTTGGGTCCCCCTATAGTCCTGCACAGCCAGGCAACACGCATTTCCTTCACACAGACTTGCATCCAGGAGACAGTAACCAGTTCTTGAACTTGTTTTGAAGTTTTATTAGGGGGTTGAACTTGGATGGAGTAAGGGGTGTATGGGATGCCCAAGGGTAATGGCAACAGAGGACAAACTGTTTAGCAACTACAGTCAGGTCCATAAATATTGGGACATCGACACAATTCTAACATTTTTGGCTCTATACACCACCACAATGGATTTGAAATGAAACAAACAAGATGTGCTTTAACTGCAGACTGTCAGCTTTAATTTGAGGGTATTTACATACAAATCAGGTGAACGGTGTATGAATTACAACAGTTTGCATATGTGCCTCCCACTTGATAAGGGACCAAAAGTAGTGGGACAATTGGCTTCTCAGCTGTTCCATGGCCAGGTGTGTGTTATTCCCTCATTATCCCAATTACAATGAGCAGATAAAAGGTCCAGAGTTAATTTCAAGTGTGCTATTTGCATTTGGAATCTGTTGCTGTCAACTCTCAAGATGAGTTTCAAAGAGCTGTCACTATCAGTGAAGCAAGCCATCATTAGGCTGAAAAAACAAAACAAACCCATCAGAGAGATAGCAAAAACATTAGGCGTGGCCAAAACAACTGTTTGGAACATTTTTAAAAAGAAGGAACGCACCGGTGAGCTCAGCAACACCAAAAGACCCGGAAGACCAGGGAAAACAACTGTGGTGGATGACCGAAGAATTCTTTCCCTGGTGAAGAAAACACCCTTCACAACAGTTGGTCAGATCAAGAACACTCTCCAGGAGGTAGGTGTATGTGTGTCAAAGTCAACAATCAAGAGAAGACTTCACTAGAGTGAATACAGAGGGTTCACCACAAGATGTAAACCATTGGTGAGCCTCAAAAACAGGAAGGCCAGATTAGAGTTTGCCAAACGACATCTAAAAAAGCCTTCACAGTTCTGGAACAACATCCTATGGACAGATGAGACCAAGATCAACTTGTACCAGAGTGATGGGAAGAGAAGAGTATGGAGAAGGAAAGGAACTCCTCATGATCCTAAGCATACCACCTCATCAGTGAAGCATGGTGGTGGTGGTGGTAGTGTCATGGCGTGGGCATGTATGGCTGCCAATGGAACTGGTTCTCTTGTATTTATTGATGATGTGACTGCTGACAAAAGCAGCAGGATGAATTCTGAAGTGTTTCGGGCAATATTATCTGCTCATATTCAGCCAAATGCTTCACAACTCATTGGTCGGCGCTTCACAGTGCAGATGGACAATGACCCAAAGCATACTGCAAAAGCAACCAAAGAGTTTTTTTTTTTTTTTGTTTTTTTTTTTAAAAGAAGCTTTATTGGGTTTTATTGTACACACAAAATAACCAACGATGAGGTTTTTCAGTATTCATAGCGTGGCAACATGCCAAAACAGATGAATAAATTCCAGGATAACAATTTACTCATAAACATATTACAGAAGCCCCGAAAGAATCCGAGAGGGAATGGAGAAGTTTGGAATGAAGAGTATCTATGGGAAAATATAGCACATGTAATATGTCAGGGTAAAGGGGCTTGAAGTTAAAGTATGCAGGATTTCGAAAAATCACATATATATATATATATAAACATACGTAAAGCAAAAGAATAAGCGACTTGAGCGATGTTAACCATTTGTCATATCGACCGATAGGGAGGTCATCGTGCATGAGATTAAAAAAAGAAAAAAAGACAGTAAAAATATAGGATAGAGATAAAGCAGTAGGGACATAAGACCAGGGAGTTGGAAAAGCCAGCATATAAAGAATATGCCAAAAGGGAAAGAAAAAAAGGAGAACTGGAGTACAAGAAGTTATGTACCAAACGTCTGAGGCCAGGGGACCATGAAAACAAGCCAGGATAAAGAGATTAGGATAAAAAAGTAATAGATTGATAAAGTAATAAGATAGTAAAGTATAATGAGATATTAAAGTATAGTGAGAAGCAGCGCATCAGTATGTATAAAGATGTGCTAGTAGGGGACCACTTCATATAGGTCCACCAGGAAAATGAGAGAGAGATTAAAAAGCCAGATTGGCGAAGTGGGAGTGGACCAAAGCGAGAACAAAAGAGATTTCTGAGAGATACACAGCATTTATAATGTTACAATCATTTGACCCCTTGAGCAATAGAAACACCATGCATCAGGAATACCCTGGAAACTAGCTTAAATCTAGCTTAGAGAACCATGAGAAGGGTGCTGGGGCTCAGGACTTGGGAGAGCTTTTGAAACATATTGACCCCACTTGCGGTTGAACTTTTCCACTCCTGTTGAAGAAGGAGCTATATGCAGACCAAGCCGATCCAATCAAAGTAGAAAGTTGAGTTCCAATTTGACGTCTGAGATGGTAGGTGGACAGTTGGAGACCCATTTTTTCAAAATAGACCTTCTCGCCGCCATCAAGCAAATGGATAGCCAAGGTTTGGTTGCTCTGAACAAAGCAAGATTGCAGTGTGAGGCAGCAGACACTGATATTTCCAGATTGCCAAAGAGAAGAAGCAGCGGGTCCCTAGGTAACTGGAGAGTAGTGACGAAAAGCACAAAGTTCAAAAGTTGGTTCCAAAAGATACAGACCCGTGGACAATTCCAGAATCTGTGATGAAGTGACGGTTTATATGAACCACAGAGCGGGCATGTAGAGATCAATGAGTCTGCTCGGGAGTACAGGCAAGGCATATATGCATGGTGCATAATTTTGAATTGCTGCTCCCTCCAAAATTCGTTCGTATTGAACGCACAGGTAGTATTGAAACCTGTGAGCAATTGCTCCGCGGTGAAGGCATTGTCAAAGTCTCGTATCCACGTTTTGATGGAAGTATAAGAATCCAGCGGTTTTGCATAGTGCATAGATAGTTGACCATAGATATTGGATATGTTGTATTTTTGATTCCTTACAAGGACTTCTATCATAGTAGAACAAAAGCGAGAAGACTTATTTTGTACTATGGAATTCACATAATTCCTAACTTGCAAAATATACAAAAAATGATGGGAAGGTAAGTCAAACGCGCTGAGAATTTGTTGGAACGGAAGGGGGGATCCTGATGCTGAGTCATACAACTGACTTACAAATCTAAGACCCTGGTCATACCACTTTTCATAAGCTGCATACTGTTGAGAGACAGAAAAGGAAGGATTGTGATGGATAGGAAGATATCGAGACAGCCTGGGAGAAACTCCTAGTCTACGTCTGACCTCCCTCCATGTGAAGAGGGTGTCCCGTATGAGTGGATTGTGTTGAAGATG